CAGCAGCAGCAGGAGGAGGAGTGTTTCTGCCTCGCCGCTTCATTTTCGCGTTTGACAGGGGGGCGGTATCACCACCCACGGCTCTTCCGGGAAACAAAATGGAAGAGGCACGGGCGCGATGCAAGAGACACATGAGAAAGTGCATCACCTTCAGTCGCTGTGAAAAGACGGAGTGGTTTGGAATCACACGCAACAGCTCCAAATCCCGAACACCATTGGCCCCCAGCACTTCCCGAAGTAGCGACACGCGCTCCTTCTCAAGCTGCGAGAGGCCGCGCCCGCTTGTGTCGTCAGACACGTTTATCAGGTCAGATGGTTGGAAGGAAACCACGTCAAACACGCAGAAGCGGGGAAGTGACGCAACGTAGTTGAGCACTTCCTCCTCAGAGGAGCAGGCGGATTTAGGCCCGCGCAGGCGATGCACCAACGCCGACACCGCCAGGAACCCCGTCTTAACCCCACTGTCACTTGTTGGGCAGGCATCAGGTTCCTTATGGATGTATAATTCTCCATCCAACACCAACCGTGGATCTCCGCAGAGCCACCGCAAGAGACGAAGTTCCTCCTCAATCCAGAACATGCCATGAACAGGCCTCCCAAAGCGAGAGAAACATGTAGATTTGAGGGATTCAGCGCGCTCACTCACGTACGAGATAATGCGCACGCCGTCGTGCTTCGGCGAAATAAAATATGGTGGGCCATCCGAAGCAACTGCATGCGATGATGCATCCGTGGCCATCGAAGCAGCAGCAGCAGCGGCAGCAGTGCGCTCCATGGTATCAAAGTTGGACAAAGCCATCGGTACAAAAGGTAGACTACGCAGAATGCGATAAAGCCTCAGCATCGTTGAATGAATATTTCTATAAACAAATACAAATATATATATATATATATGTGTGTGTGTATGTGTATATAATGTAAGTTTTATTCTGTCTATCTATATGTATAAGTAGCGATGTAGCGTTACGTATATCTATGTGCTTGTACGCCTGTGGTTTCGGCGTATCACAGATGTGTGTACGTGTGCCTCTGCGTGTGGGGAGGGGAAAAAAAAGAAAACATAATTAAAGGGAGAGATCAAAAGCAAACCGTTTTAAAGCAAACACAAAAAAACAACACACACACACACACAGATCTGCGAGAAAAAGACTGTTTGGTTCACGTCAGCATTGAAATTGTGTCGTGCCACGTAGCTGTGGAAACCTCCATCACCACAAGCCACACTCGCCTTGGATGAGCCTTGCTTCTCACATATCCCTCTCCTTGACGCCGCCCCAGTCGGCATACTTGAGCCGAAGAAAGGAGAGCTCGGCACTAACGCACGCCAGCTGTCGCTCTCGTTCAAGGTCACGCGCCTTAAGTTGACGCCAACGTTCCTCGTATGCTGCAACTGCGTCCTCCTGTCCCCGCTTCGTCTCAAGAAGAGTCGCCTGGAGATGGGACAACGCTTCCGACCGCGCTTCCAAACGCACTGCTTCCTCCTTCAGACGCTGGCGTTCCGTGCGCCAACGCTTCTCTTCTTCCTGTTGCTGCGTGGCAAGCAACTCGCGTTCTTGAACCAGCGCCTCCCGTGCGGCCTGAAGCTCAACCAGCTCCGCACAACTCCCACACAGCGGGCGGGGCGCACAGGTGGAGTCTGCGCCCCTCCCTCCCTCGCAGGACTCTCCGGGCGCGGTGGCGTGGTTGGAGCAGTTGAGAAGGGAAAAGCCACAAGGTGGCCGCACCCCCTCCCGCAGCGCAGCCTCCGCTGCATGGGAAAAGGCCTCATTATGAAATTCCAGATGTTGCACCAAGAGGCTCACGGTATCTTGCATAAAGTTCCACACCACCTTCGTGAAGTGGCTCCAACTCGAGCCTTCACCAGAATGAAGAGAAACGTCTGCTGTCCCGTTACACAGCGGCCTCTTGAGATGCAAAGGACTGGGCATGTACATACACCTTGCACCACTGGCAGTGTCAATGTTCCAAAAGAAGCCCTCCATGACTCCCAGGAAGTGCGCCCCACGCACCACCTCAGCCTTGTCAGGGGCATACCTGTCGGAAGGAGCCTTTGATAAAGATTGCAGTAAAGGCGCACCTTGAGACACGGTAAAGGCATGCAGCAGCCAATACCGGTGTGGATTCCACGCCAGCAGCAATCCGGAGCTATCACAGGAAAAGACAAGGCCCGAGGCCGCACTTAGTGCAACCACAGGTTCCTTGTGCCCAACGAGCATCCGCATGGAGTTGACCTCAAGAGAGTTGTCTCCCCTTTCCCGAGACATTGCCGCCTCCACCCTAGTCTCTTCCTTTTCCTCTTCCTCTGACGAGGAAGAGCGAGTGCCCAGCGCCCCCCCACCCTCATCCTCACCCTCACCCTCACCCTCACCCTCACCCTCACCCTCCGCCTCCGCCTCGGAA